GAAGAAGAAGAAGAAGAAGAAGAAGAAGAAGAAGAAGAAGAAGAAGAGGAGGAGTAGTTGTCCAGCGAGTCTTTGTGTTGCTTTGCCGTTGTTTACTCTTTCCCCTGTCCTTATTTGTGCAAGAGGCTCCCGGGGGAGCAGGGAGGGAAGTGTTTTCATTGAGGTGACAAAGGAAGTGCAGGAGGGCAAACGGTGCCTTCTTGTTGCGTTTAACACAAGTTGTCTTTAGATTCCTGCCTCTTTACAAAGTGCCCTTTGCTTCCAGAATTGGCTCTCAGCAAAGCTGCGGCGTGTTTCACTGGAGGATTTCTCAGAAGGAGCTCTGGGTTTTCCTTCAGCCTTTTGTGTTGCTGTTTCTCTGCACCTCGAAAGAGCAGTCAATTACGGAGTGATATAAAGGAGCCGCAGCAGCTTTGATGGCCGACGTGTCAATCAAAGCAAAGTCAGGACTAGCCTCTAAAGCAGCGGCTGCCGCCACCGAATCTGCCTTGAGTGATACTGGCACGGGTTCAGGAGAAACCGCAGCGGTACACCCAACCTTCCTAATCACTAACACTTCATTATGTGCAATAAATACTTTATTATTAGAGTGTTCATTAGATTGCTTAATTCGCAGCATGGCCCTCTGGTTGTAGATTGTAGGTCTGGGGGGAGTCGAGTCATTTGCCTCCCCTATCCGGTGCATCCGGTGCAGGGCCCAATGCAGCCAGGCCTCGATTTCCTTTGCAATCTGTCCGGGAATCTGTCAGAAGCAGCTGGAGCGTTTATCAGAACGCTGTCTGGGGCGGCTCCCCTTGACAGGATGGGCAGTGGCCGAATGAGGCCCATGGAAGCTCCCCTTCACTCGGCACCCAAAGTTTCTGTTGGGCCTCGGCGCAGGCTCAGTGGGGGCAGCAGCCAAGGCGGAAAGGCCAGGGCCTCTTTTCGGGAGTTCATCCGAGAGACGGGCCTTTCTGCGTCAGAGGACGTCCCGACGGGCTCCCATTCTGCTGTCTTCACTTTTAACTAAACCCAGAAGTGGGGAAAGGAGCGTGGAGCGCAGGTTTGCTTCGGGGTGAGACTGGCACTGGACAGGGAGGCTCTTCCGTCTTTCTGAGGCTGCTTCCCCAGATCCCTTGCCGCCCCCCCCCCCCCCCCGCCCCCGGGGTCAGCCGGCTGGGAGATCCAAACAGATGGCTTGCAGAGAGGGATTTTGCAGGGAGGCCGAGGCCATTATCCTGCCCTGGCTTAAGCCTCTGACCGGCTGCTTGGCTTGAGGCCAGGCCGGGAGAAAGAGACCAAGGAGGAGGCATCTCCCTGCAGAATCGGGGAGAGGAACTGGATTCCGAAAAAGGAAGAAGAACTTCTGCCATCTCATCTCATCCTCTTCCCATAAATATTCATCTTATTTTCCGTCAGCAGAAACTTGACATGACGCCCAGCTCGCTCCACATTCGACTGTTCTTGGGGAGTTCTGCCTGTCCTTCTCCCCCCCGCCACCCCCCACCAGCACCATGAAACGGACTCTCGTTTCTCTCTCCCGCTTCCTGCTCGGAGGGGGATGCTGGCATTTGAGGGGCAGCCACCAGTGGTCGGTTTCTATTTCTATTTCTGAAATCCCCACTTGGAAAAAAAAAAAAAGTTATTGTTTTCCTTTCCTTCTTGCCAGAACTGCCATTTGTCCTCAGCCTCTGCTGCAGAGTAATGCCTTTTGATGTCGAAAGTGGAGAAGGGAAGAAGGGAGGGAGAGATTATTAAGGGGAAAAATAGGAAACCGGAGCCTGTCATATTTTGTTAGATTCCTGAGGCTGCTCCTCTGAATGTGCCATCAGCAGAGCCGCGGTTTAAAAGTGGAGGTAGCCCGCAACTCGGAAGACATAACTAAGCGGAGAGACAGAGGCGTGATTAAAACCGAGCCCCGCTCAGCACAGAAACCGTCGGAGGGTGTAGCAGACAGCAAGGAAGCCCCCCCCCCCGCCCCCGGAGGAAGTTGGGTCTCTGGCAGCTGGAGGGACCTCAGTGGCAACCCGCTGTGTGCATCCAAGCATCCCCCCCCCCACCGCCTAACGTGGCAGCCTGGTTCCCTGGAGAGCAGCCACACAGGTCAAGGGGGGTTGTGCCCCTGCCTGCCTCTTGACCTGGCACGGGCCCTCCCTGCCCCTGTGCTGACCCCTGGACTCTGCTGCCAGGTGGGTCTCCGTGGTTTTGTTTGCTCTTCTGGCATTTGGCTTGAGTTGGCTGCTCTCCCCAGTCGAGTCACGGTGCCCCCAGGGAGAGAAGGCGGCAGTCAGCGTGCTGACGGGGCTCTGAGGCCGGGAGGGTCCAGGGGATCATGCTGGGAGCGGAGGGGGCTCAGCTGGGCCGCTTGTGTCAAGGGGATCCCGGGCTGTCTGGATTAACGGGAAAGCCTTGAGGGCTTCCGCTTTCCCAGAGCAGAGCATCAGCCCATCCTTCCTGGTAATGCCAGCACTGACTGGCAGGAGCTCCCAGCCTTCCCGCAGGAGAGGCTCTGATTGGGCAGGCCAAGGAGAGCTCGGCTCTGTCCCCTTGGTGGCCACACCCTGCTCAGCTTCCGGAGAGGTCAGGTGGAGGCTCCCCCCGCAGCCGGGTATTCTGGGTAAGACGTTTATCCTGTCCCAGCGCTCCATGCCCAGGGAATAAACGTCGGCTGCCGAAGAAGAAACCCTCCGCCCAGGGCCCCTTCGGGGATGGCTCCCACAGAAGCTGATGAGGAGCCTTCGCTCTCCACTAAAACCCACGCCTGCCCTGCCTCTGCGGGGGACTAGAAGATGCCCACCGCTTCCTCCTCCTCCCTCCTCCTCTTTCAGGCAGCCCAGCTCGTCACTGGCACACCTGCCGCCTTTGTCTCTCCTTTTCCTACCCACCTGTGCTTCGGCCAATGCCCGCCATCACGAGTTGAGTCCCAATTTGTTCACACTTAACCTTCAACAAAGAACCAGGGATAGGGCGGTGGGAGTGGAGGAAGCAGCAGTGCTCGCCTTGGGGCCGGCCTTGCCCCCGTGCGGGCGACTTTGCGCCCAGGAAGGCTGGAAGGCGCCCAAGTGTCATGAGTTGTTAGGAAATACATTTGTCAGCAACAGGATGGGAAAGGCTGCCATAACAGAGCCGAGACCCCCTTTTATTTATTCATAGGTTTTTCGTTCTTCCTTGGCTCGCTGGGGGAGGCCAGCGGCAGAGTTGGGGGCAAATTAGCCAAGCTTAAATATTCATGACGAGGCTTGGCTGACAGCTTGGGGAGGCCCCAGTGATCTGCCTGGATGGGAAGATTTGACTCTGTCACAGGGCACTGGGAACCGGCATTCGCCCTGCTTAGTGCCGGCTGGTGGTTTAGCTCCCCAATGACCTGATGCTCCCTCTGTGGACTCTTCCTCCTCTGGGTCCTGCCTGCGGCAGAGCCACGAGCTCCGAGCCCCGAGCGCCTGGGGGCCTTTGGGCAGAGGGGTCTCCCCTGTGCGCAGGTGGTGAAGCTCCCGCTTCCCCTCTCTTCCTGCCAGGTCTGGGAAGCCCTGCTGAGCCTCCAGCCCCCCCGGGTCAACGTCTTCATGGCAGTGCCAACCATCTACAGCAAACTGATCGCCTATTACGTGGAGCATTTCTCTCAGCCACGGGTCCAGGACTTCATCCGCGCCGTGTGCCAGGATCATATCCGGTAGGTGAGCCCTTTTTGCCTCATTCCAGCGGAGCAGCCCGGCCCTTTCTTCGGCCCAAAGGCCTGGGGTCCCCTCTCCACCTGCCCTTCGGGGCAGTCGGAGCTTCTCCAAGCCTTCGGAGGACCGTCTCTTGTCGGGGAGCCTGAAACGAAACACTTTCTTGCCCAGAACTTCCTGGTCGAGCTGGAGGCTGGGCTGTCCCCACCGGGAAGTGGGCTCAATCCAAGGCAGCCTAGGAAAAACGCCAGCTTTCGACCGAAAGGGCTTAGGACCCGGGTGGGGTTGGGCTGCCGCCGCCTCCTCCTCCTCCACTCATCGACCCACCCTTGGAGATTGTTCTTCCGAGCCTTTTCCTTGGCAAGCGCCCTGAGCCACCCGCCTGGTGTCATTATGGCTGCCTTGCAGGGCAAGGCCAGAGCCAATACGGTTAACGTGGATATTTCTAACCAAGAGCCGTTGCTTTTTTATGGTCCATTTTGGAGCTGTGGGGATGAATGGAAAAAGGTCTCGGGCTGGAGGGACGGGCCACGGAGGGAGCCCTGGGGCTCAGTGAGTGATGCTACCTGCCTTTCCAAGGCCGTTGGAGGCCCAGCAGCGTTGCACTCCCTGCGGGGGCCCAGCCAGGCAGCGAGAGGGGATTTCCCCTGGAAGGCCGGAGTTGGTCCTCCCCCTGCGGACCCTCTGAGCGCAGCTTTCCCTGCGAGAGCAGGAGCAGGACTTGTCCAGCCTCACCACGGCTGCCACTCTGGATTCCAGGGTGGAAACGCTGAGCCTGTTCCCTCTTCTGGCAGCGGTCCAGGCCTCGCGCTGAAGTTCCCACCTTGTAAGATCTCCTGGCGGTACACGGCAATGGCTGTGGGGCATCTGGCTTCAGGGCAGGCTGGCCTGAGGAAGTGGCGCACGGCTTCCTGGCCTGGGCCCGGTCCAGAGGCGATTCCCACAGCCAGGTGTGAAGGGGGCTTCCTGCTTTGCCCTGACTGCGGGAGTCCCTCCCGAGAGGCTGACCTCCCTGTCGCTCCTTGGCTTGAAGTGGCAGCAGGCCCTCTGCCCGCCTGCTTGCAAGGTGCCTGATGGCCCCTGGCCCTTCTGCTTTCAGGTTGATGGTCTCGGGGTCCTCGGCCCTCCCGGTGCCCATCCTGGAAAAATGGAAGAGCCTCACGGGGCACGTTCTCCTGGAGAGATACGGGATGACGGAGATTGGGATGGCCCTTTCCAACCCACTGCACGGGCCTCGCGTTCCAGGTGAGGCTCTGGGGAGAGTTTGCAAACTGCTTCGAAGCTGGTCTGGCATCACGTTTGACCCTGCACGTTGTAGGCATGAAAAGAAGATGGCTGCAGTAGCAGAACCCGGGTGGAGCACCATGAGGCAAAGCAAGGCTTCTCTCCCCCCCCCCCCCCCAGGAGACCACCGACAGCCCCTGCTTTTAATTGGCACGTGTCCCAACCAACCCCTGGAATCCCCCCAAGGCCCAGGGACGGCTTCTTGGTCATCGGGAGGGTCCTTAATGCTGTCTTCTTGGAGATCCTGGCCTACAGGCTGACCTTTCGCTCCTTTCTCCCGAGGGCAAAGCAGTGGACGTGGAGGACTGGAAGAGTAAAGTCACCATCCCACCCCCCCAAATTAAGGACATACAATCTTTGCAAGGCGTACAAAAATATACCTTAAGCCGGCTGTGTAGTCCCATTTTCTGCTGCAAGACCCTTTCTGTGAGAAAAGTCCACACTAGTAAGGAGCCTCACATCCCCTCTGTGGGTTTCCCAGAGACATTTGGGGGGAGGGCTGGACGGACTGGCCTTTTCACTTCCCTGAGGTCCAGTTCAGCAGCTTTGAGGGTTGCGTGGACCGAAGCCGTGGAATTTTTCTATGCAGAGCAGGTGCTTACCTTCCTTGTAGTGCGGCCCCTCCGAAAGCTTCCATGTGTTACGAAGCTTTCGGAGGGGCCCCGGTACAAGGAAGATCTCTCAGGCAGGGGATCTTTTTCAGGTGAGCCAGACTCGCCCGAGCTGCATTACCTGAATCCGCCCCCCCAACATTCAATTTATCACTGAACTCGGCTTGTGTTTCGCCCTTCAAAAAAAAAAAAGAAAATCCCCCGAGGCAGATAATTATCTCCGCTGCTCTGCCTTGAGGTATGTTTGATGAAGGGCAAACCCCAAATGGAGTTTGGCGATAAACCGAATCTCGGAGATTCAGTGCCTTGCCGCTGCAAACAATTCGCACTCTTGAGGGGTTCGGGGTAGGGAGCGACGGTCCTGCCTCACCCCCTTCCGCTCGGCAGGAGGAGGAGGAGGAGGAGGAGGAGGTTGGGGACATGGGGAGAGGCAGGCGCTTCAGCACTGGACAGCTCCTTCTGCAGGCGGTTGAGCGAGCAGGCCCTGCCATGTCCGTGGGACTGGGCCGAGGGGCAACGTTCCCGCTTTCGTGGGCGTCTCTCTCTGGGGCAGACAGATGCCCGAGCAGAGGCATCCATGGGTAGAAAAGCGAATGCGGTGGCCATCACAGTGCAGTTTTCAGCGTGAGCTTTGATGGCACCATTGCCGCTGCCATCTTGGCTCTTTCTCACCCCAGGAGGTGCGGCCTTCGTCCTTTGAGGGACACAGCGCCCTGTGTCCCTCGCCTGGGTGTTTCGGCCTCCCGAATCACCGCTTCCTCTACTTGTCCTCCCCAGATGTGCTTGGGCATGGTCGTCTTATGTCCCCTTGTTGCCCTTGCGGAGGCATCTCCCTTTTTCCAGCTTTCCCCTGCCCCCCCCCCCCCGGGGTAATCTCTGGTCCTCAGCAAGCCCCCCCCCCCCCGACCCCAGTGCTTCTTCTGTCCAGGTGCTGAGATCTGAGGGTGCAGGGAACCTCTTGCTTAAGAGGCGAGGATGCAAGAGCTTGAGAGAGAAACGTTTTGATTGTAGATGGTTAAACCTCTGCTTAAAATGCTTCTGTTTTCTGCAGCCCTTTCCTCCCCCCTCCCGCTCCCCATCCTCCCCCTCCCCTCCCCCCAATCCCCCTTGGTGTTGTTACCATGAAGGGAGATGAATAATTCATGGGCACTGAATGCCTCGCTGGGCCTAATCACCACTTTAATTGGAGGTTTAGATCAGAGGTGGCTAATAGCTCCTGCAGAGGAGACTCCTTCCTTGGTTGTTGACAGCCAGCGTGTCAGGCGCTGGGTTGTTGGCCTGTTTCAAGTCTCCCAGGACATCGCCATGCCTAGCAGCCTCCCGGTCCCCCGACACCAGAGGACACGCAGCCCAGGGCCAATTAAAGGTATCAGGGAAAGGCTGACAACTAACTTAAACAGAGGAGGAGCCGGGCGGCTAATAGGGTCACTCCTGGCGCTGACAGCTGCCTGTCTCGGGATGGTGGTGGAGAGCCGGCTCGACAAATGGCCAAGAGCCCTTCCCTCGCAGGGGCAGCCGTTTCTGCCTGGTTCCGTGGTTAAATGCCAGAAGTAAGGAAGAAACCGAAGGCTGCTTCCCGTGATTTCTTTAACTCTGGGGGGGGGATGTGCTTTTGACTCCTCTTGGCTGCCCTCCGCTATCTCCGCCTGCATCACCCAGGAGCCAGATTGGACCCTCCGTTACCCAGGCAGACTTAATTTCTAAATGTCACTTGGGCCCCCAAAGCGAGAGGTATTGTCTTCGCACAAAGACTTTTAATTGCCCTGCCATCCTGGTATCACTATAATTAACATTGTCTGCATTTCCCAGCTTTCCAGGGACCTGCGCTTACAAAGGCTTGTCATTTGGGGGGTGGGTGGGCAGGAGGGAGCCATAAGGCAGGTCGCTGTGAAGCTTCCTTTATGTAGGTGTCTCTCTTGGTAACCCAGAAAGGGAAGGAGACAACTCCAAGACCGGCTGTTTCCTCCCTGGGGCGGGGAGGGAAGGGCAGCCTCAAGGGGACAGGGTTCTCCCCCCTTGGCCATAAGGGGAGCAAAGTTAAGTGGCTGAGCTGCCCCTGGAGCACCAACCACCATTGCAACCCGGCCACAAGTGTTCTGCAAGAAGCCTCGCCTCTTGTTCCCCCTTTGTAATTGGCGGTTGGAGGAATCAGGGTCGAAGCCCAGCCGGGTCCTCAGGTGCTGGGGGCTGGGGAGGGCATCTAGTCGGTTGCTAATTGGCACAGCGCAGTCCAGGGGGCAAGGGTGGAACCTTTCCTCCAGGTGTGTTTGAGCAAACGACCTGGGACTCAGTCCCTCTCACCTGCTGGGCGACGCCCAGGGCTGGTTTCCTGCTGGGCCTCCCCAGGGACATGTCTCTGATGCGTTGCGGGTCATGATATTGCAACATGTCCCGTCGCGTGCGGCTCTTTCCATCAGCTTTCCCTTCCTCCCCCTTTTCCCTTCTCCAGGATCGGTCGGGACTCCGCTGCCCGGGGTTAAGGTGCGCGTGGCCACTGGAAGCTGGACCAAGGATGATTCCGCGTTCTGCATCCACGCTGAAGGGGACGAGATGGGCACAATGGTAATTCAGCGGGCCTGGGGGATGGACGGGTGGAGAAGAGGAGGCCTGGAGGGCCAGTGGGGGCTTCCCTGCTCTTTGGCATGTTGCCCCCATCTTGCAACTGAGCGGGGGAAGAAATGAGCTGAACCAGACACGCTTTGTGTGTGGAAGACACAATACACACACACACACGCACACCCAGCTCCATTTTGAGTCTGTCCAGTTCAGGTCCCCAAGATAGAGCGGACCCCACTTTGCCTCTCCTGCCTGGCCAGGCGCTGATCCAGGGATCCAGCTGATGCCCCTTTCCAGGGGGCTTCCCCACTTCCTGCCCAGGGAGGCATGTCTGAACAGGGCCCAGGAATCCTTTTATGGAGCAGGGGGATCATCCACTTTTCGTTCCTTCCTTTCCGTGCAAGACGCTCCCTGCTTTCCTGGGTCATTTGAGTTGTAAGAAGGGCCTGGACCCCCCCCCTTCCCCCCCCCCCCCCCCCCCC